TAACAGACTAACCTCTATTAACTAGTTGAGGCATAGATGCTGAGATGTCAACCCATTGTACTTACACTTGTGACTTGCAGTTGACTAAAACACCACATTACTCTGTTCATTCAAGGAACAAAGGTCATGGGATAAATTAGAAAGAAATCTTGATATGTTTTCCTGAATCTGCATGTTTTAACTGAGACTATTTCAGGAAGAGAGTTTTCTCATCACCCAGAAAAGGCAGATAGATAAAATATATAAGCTACAAGGCTTTTGGAGGGCAGTTAAGCCTTCTCTTCTGTGTTTCAGGTAGCAGAACAGCAGGGGGAGGAATTCCTCTTTGAACAGGTCGAGTTACAAACCGGCAAGCTCTAGAAGAAAACACAGTCATTTCTCATTAGCTCAGAGCAGCCCTTTCAGTAACAGAAGTGCAACAGCTTCATACACAGAGCATGATGATCTTGAATGCCACAACAAAATGTAAATTCTGAGGGAGGCGCCATTTTTCCCATATAGATTTGAAAAGTAAAGGATTAGACTAGCTTTTTAGTAGGACTTGAGGTTTGGTCTTCCATAGAAGACATCCAGAGATTCAAATTTACACGTGATTTACAATCCTTAGGATGCTTGATACTCATGAATAGTTGCTAGCATGGAATACATGTGAACAGCTCATCACATTGCTCCCTCTAGCATCATCTGTTTTCAGGGAAGAGAAAGAATCAGTTTTGTCCTGAACTCAAATCTATTGCCTAGCTGTACCTGTATGCATAAGAGCTGTGTAGTCGACTGCTGAGAAAGTGTGCCAAAGGCAGGATGGATTCAAGCTGGTTACCTTCAGTTAGTCTAGCCCCCAGGTAGATTTGTTGGCTGGAACTCCTGACCAAAGAAGATCCAGTGGTAGGGACAGCTCTATCTTTCTTTGCTTATTAAAGGTAAGTTCCTTGGTGCTTGCTCGTTATTTCCCACCACACCCAGAGGTTTCATTCACCTTAACATGTGACTTGTCTGGGACTAAGGAAGCTACAGCAGTTTCTTTCTTTCTAGATAATCCCAGGTGCTAAACATATTTGTATTAAACAGACAGACTCTTTCAGCTCTCCTTCAGTAGTATTAAGCAGCTTGTGCTCCCTCAACTAGCCCTAATATAGTGCTGTCAATGCATGCACTAAGATTACATCCTTGAATTTTAAAATTTAAATTTTAAAATTTAAAACAAAAAATGGGAGCTGCAAGCCATATCATCTGCACATGCACTGAGGATACTTGGCTGCCAAACATAGAAATCACTTTGTAAGTCATACTGTCATTGAGCCTTTCCTCAACATCATTTCAGGCATGGATGCAAAAATTTTAGTTTAAGTGCTTATCTTTGAATATTCTGGGTGAGCAGTGTCTGATTTTGACATATACATGCCATGGCTTAGTGAGGCAAGAGGGTGCACAGACATGTAGCTCCTGGCTGAGAATTCCACCTGGCTGCCAAACCAGCACAGGTGGGAACTTGCTTAACTGACATGCTCTTTGGCAGCACAATACATTAACTGACATACTGGTGCAGACCCAGTTGTCTGTCTGGGAGACTGTCCAGCAACAGAGACCAAAAAGGCAGGTGCAAGGAACCTCATCAGGAATAATGACAAAACAGCTTGCCTTAAGGTGAAGTTTCTTCCTGTTTCCAGATAGTGAAAAGTTGGTGTTCAGCAGAGTTTGTAGTCTTTGCAATACATTCATTCCAACTATATGTTGACTCTTCTAAGTTTACTTACAAATGCCTAATGCCTTCATGGAAGTCTATGCATTGAAACCTATTTAATTTACTCAGTCTCCTTATGCACAGGATATTATAGATATCACATAAAGTAAATATGGGCAATAACTTGTAAACTTTCATTGCTTCTCTGACAAAGAATATGGCTCTCTAAGACTTTTTTTTGCATTGTTTCTCACTCTTCTGGTGAAGGACAGATATCAGGTGCCTAGGTGAGGTGAGTCCCACTCCTTTCCCTCCTAATTGTCATCCCTACCTGTTGAGGGTGCTCATATACTGCAGGACACCCCAGCTAACAACAGAATGTAGGGTTTCTGCTTTCACATAAGATTGTGAAAAGCGAGATCAGGATATTTCTAATGCTTTTGCCATGACTGCCTTTCCTCCATGTTTGCAGAGTTAAGGACTGATACGATGACAAATAAAATAAGATGCAAGGTGACATGAGAGCCTTTGCATCCCAAGTTATGGAAGAAATACTCTGAAAATAGGGAACACCCTGAGAATAAAGAGAATGGAGAGACTTCTTACAGAAAACAGTCACCATTCTGCACTCTGTCTGTGACCCCAAGCCTGTCACAGTGCAGTTCTAGCCACAGCCAGGATGTCTTGACACTTGACCCCTTGGAACTATCATAGGGATATATTTCAAGTTTGCCTCAGAACAAGAGGAAGAAGAGATCTGTGATGTCCAATCACTGCTTGCATGCCTTGGTATAGCAAGTAAATCCCTTTCCTCTGACTATGAAAACAACATTGCCATAGACTTCATATGCAAACGTAAATGTCCTACTGCCAGAACTACCACCAAGCATTTAATTTCACTGCAGCTCCCCATAAGGGGCTATTAAACCTCAGTATCATTGGTATGAGATTCAGACAAGGCTCACATTTTTGTCTCCCATTGCATAAATAGGAAGAATATATTTTCTGCATGTGAGTTTCCACCATGCTGAAAAGAGGCCATAGGATTTGAACTAGAACACTAATTTCTCCACTAATCTTAACCATACAAGGCATGGAAAACATAGCCTGCTGTATTTCCCCAAATGGCCCTCAGAACTTCAAGATAACACTCATATATGAATGTCCATACATGCATTGTTTTTCTCTGGTGAATACATATGGAAGGTGCTAGACACCACAGATTCGCCTCAGCATCTTGTACTCCATATGCTTTCTGAACAGGACACCACTTGCTCAGTGTCACATGCTGTAGGTGGAGCTGACAGTCAGTCAGCATACGTGTAACAATTTGTAAGTATTACAAGTGTGTAGAAACTCCTTAAAAAGCAAGCCTCAAATTTTCTAAGGTTTCACTCTAGTCTGATGTGGTGTTTTTTTTAATCTTCACACTGTCTCCGTGTGAATGTTTTGTTCTTGTTTCATTGTATTGCTTTTGTATTGATTTTTTTTATATCTTGAAAGAATGCACTGCTATTCTCCCTCTTCAGCTAAAAAACCCCAACATATGTTGCTCTAATGGCGTAATAAAGAGTCTGAACTGTGTTGGGTATTCTAACACAACTATTCTGGAGTATCTCCTATCATATTATGGGACTCTTCAATAACTATCAAATGTGGTTTCTCAGTCTTCAATTGCTGGATTGGCTGGGGGAATCCTTAAATACATACAAGAGTAGTATCTCCAGAAGTTGTGCTATTCTAACCTTTACAGCCAGAGAAATACAGTAAGTTGATGAGTAGTTCACAGTGAGTCAACAGATGGGCACAGATCGGAACAGCTAGGGTTATTTCCTCTCTAGATACAAAGGTGTCTTTTTATGCAATGTCTTCATTGGGGTCTTGCTTAACAAGGCCATTTCCAATTCCTTTCCTATGTGTTGGTGAGGTGGACAAATGTATAGTTTATGAGTTTTCCTCTCAAGCTCAGCTTCATGTTTTCATACTCCTGCATAAGGATAGATATAGAGACACAGTCCTGAAGCTCTGCTCCTCCTCAAAGGAGATCTTTCCTTAAGCAAGCACTAGTCTGTCTGAAGGAAGGCATAAGCTCTGTCATTCTGGTCATTCTCCTGCACCTCTAACAGACAACACAGTTGATTCCAAGGACGTTGTTATTCCTTCTTTAAGGACTGAAGTGACTTGTGGGACTAGTACCCTTCCCTGATCATTCTTGACAAGAACTTGTGAAAGACTTTCACCTCCCTTGTTCCAATTGTCTATCTGGAGTTGACTGCTGCAAGTCTGCATTTTCTTCAGAAACAATATTCAACCAACTGTGCCCAATCATGTAGCTGGTTAGAGTGAGAAAAAGAGCAAGTATTTTTCAACAGCAAAAGGCTTCAGATTTTTTTCTGTCATGCTCTTCAATGCCTGTAAGGGGGTCAGAAGAGAACAAAACCCAAATTCTGGGTGCTCAGGATTTCAGAATATCACCACTTACGCCTTTCCTCTCAAGAATGGGCTTGTGAGGACCAGAAGCTATGTTTCCCTCTGCACTTGCAGATCCAGCAGGATGGATTCTAGGAATCCTTATTGTTCCCTTCTGTTGAAGTCTCGTAAACAGAGTTGCATAGCACCATGGACTTGCTGTTCCTTGTGTCAGCACAATGGATTAATAAGTTTCCCTCCTGGATCATGGAATTTAGCCAAGAACTGCACATGAAATAGCATAGAATTTTGAGCCCTTTACTCTCAACCTCTTTACTAGGTGATATCTTATTGCTTATCACATATTTGTACAATAACTAGAACTTCAGTTCCCTACCAAGCTGGCATATCAAGTGATAGACTGATGCTCATCTCCATCTGAGTAATAATCTCTCACACCATGATGGGATTCTTTTGGAAAAAAATGGTAATTTTTTGTTGCTTTTATTGTCTTTGTAGCTTTGCTGGGTTCCCAGCCACAGATAAAGCCTACTGATGGCTTTGTAAAGTTGTCCGATACCTTTTGTTGACAGAGAAGAGGCAACAGATGCTTGTATCTGTCCAAGCTATTATTCCATCTTCTTCCCATGTTATAACTTTCCCTCCCCCAACCCATTCCCAGTATATGGTCAGCCACATTTCAATGCCACCAGTTTTTTAGCTGTGCTTTCAAATCATGCCAAAGGCTTTGTTTTTGTTCATGGAACAGCACATGTAGTGTGCACTTTCTGGGTGCATTAAGTCTTCAAGTAGGATACTGACATCTTTTTTTCTTACAGTGAAAATCCCTCTGAATTCCCCCAGAACCTTTCCAGAGTTTGAGACTAGTGGAATAAAGATGGTGTAAATGTCACACTTCAACTGGTTCATGCTGATTCAAATGGACTCACACGAGCTGGATGCTGTTTAGAATCTTTTTCTGGTAACCAACAAGGGTGATGCCAATATGCTGGATATCTCTGCAAGAGAATAGAGGATGTGGAAGGTGTTAAAATGGGCTTCTTGTTTTGAACTGTCCCAGTCCATTTCCCTGTAGATCCAAATGAATGTGTATGGATATCATCTTTTTCTGAGAAACAGTTGACAAGACTTCTGCTTTTGCTTGGAAAATGTGGGTGGGTGGAGGCAGTATTGGCAGAACTTGGTAGGTTATGATACAAAAAGAAGCAGTGGAAATGGACCATGAAAATGATCGAAGGGCTGGAACACCTCTCCTATAAAGAAAGGCTGAGAGAATTGGGGTTGTTCAGCCTGGAGAAGAGAAGGTTCTGGAGAGACCTTCTTGCAGCTTTTAAATATATAAAGGGGGCTTACAAGAAAGATGGAGAAAGAGTTTTTACCAGGATCTGCAGTGACAGGACTAGAGGTAACAGTTTTAAACTGAAAGAGAGTAGATTTAAATTTGATATAAGGAAGAAATTTGTTATGATGAAGGTGGCAAGACACTGGAGCAGGTTGCCCAGAGAAGTTGTGGATGCCCCATCATTGGAAGTGTTCAAAGTCAAGCTGGACTGGGCTTTAAGTAACCTGGTCTAGTGGAGGGTGTCCCTGCCCATAGCAGGAGGGGTTGGAACTAGATGATCTTTAAAGGTCCCTTCCAACCCAAACCATTCTGTGATTCTAAGAATGTTCCTTTTCCTGGCTCCTGGCTTCTACATAACACTTCAACCCAATATATGGCATGGATGGTTCTACACTTCCCCTTAAAAGTGGTTATTACCTGTGACAGCTGTCATGAACATTCTGATGTAACAGTCTCTGCAACGCTGACAATATGTTTTGCAGTATACATGGGATCAGTATTAGTGCTTATAGAAACAGATTACAAATGCACAGTGGTATGGAGGGTGTCCAGAGGCCCTAATAAGATATAAGAAACAGTAGTTACTTTGCTCTTGCTTCCCTCTCCTTTTTCATGTGTATGTATTCTCCATATAGCCCTTATTAAATATTTCTGAGATTGCTTTCACTTTGTGCATGGAAAACTCAGTGTCAGGCATCGTCTGTGCCTCCACTTACTCCAGAGTCATGCGTGATATGACATCAAATGTAATCAGACCAGCCTGGCCAAAATTCTCCTTGTAATGGCCCATCTTGATAGCATCCAACCACTCATGGGCATTGCTGAGTGAAGAGAAATCTGGAGGACAGTTGCTCAGGAGAGGCTGATATGGTCTGCAAAAGAGGCAGGTTCTAAAAACCCAAGTTATCGGTATCAGCTGGCCACACTAGTAAGGTAAGAGTGATGAAAGGGAGAGTATACAACCTCTGAAGAACAAAGAATGGAGAAAAACAATATTCATTCCTCATGCTCTGATTCCTAAAGTCCCACCTTGATGCCCTGTTTCTAGACTACCTATGTTCACTTTTTTGCCTGAAAACAATTAACCCAACCCAAGAAATTGATCCTTCCTTCCCATTTTACCCTCTTTCAAGCACATTCTCTTCTTGTTGTCCCAGATCTTTCCAGACTTTCTGGGTCTAGACCTATTAGCTGGGCAAAGAGTTCCAGTGAGGAGGTTTCTGAGGCAGAGATGAGACCTTAACATTTTTGCCTTTGTGACTAGCTCTCCCTCTCCTAGATGCACCCCTTGAATCAGAAAGTAACCTATGAGACAAGAGTGCGTTGTTTCAGCTCCAACACCCATCATATAAAAGCATAGCAGTAAAAGGCCAAAGAAACAACTGTTTATACATGGTATTTGCTCTTCTCCCCATCATCTGAATCTGTCCCAAAGCTCTAACTCTCTTTATGTGCTGTTTTTAGTAAACTGGGCATGACTAGGCACTTTTCCCCTCCCCCAGCTGTGGAGTACACTCCACTGAGACTAGGTTTATAACCACGGCAAAAAACCCTCCAGGCCAGCAAGATGTAATTTCATCATCAGCCCAACAGACATCTAATCTTGGCACCATTTCCCTCTGCTGAGACGTCTCCTTTGTTGACCTCCTGCCTCTGGTTCCATCAGGCTGCAAAATGCAGTTGGGAAAATATGGAATGCAAACTGCAGTTGTAATTAGTCTTAGCTACAGATCTCCTTCCCTCCATAAGCTAAGGTCTTCTCTTCCTTCATCACCTCTTGTGATCACACAGTATTGTGTGATCACCGAATATCTTGTGCAGCTGTACCCAGATGTGTCCCTCCATTTCCTAACATCCCTCACTCATGTTTGTCCTCAGAGCACCTCATCAAGTGATTTATCTCCCCTCACATTCAGCACTCACAATTCCTCATCACCCATTAAGTGAATTAGGATATACAGTTCTTCCAACCCGCTCCCTCATTTTGCCCCTTTCTATTTGTTCACAGTCTCAGAGGAGAGGGTTGGAAAAAATACTATATAGCCTGATTTGCTGCTTTCTTTTCCTCATGAAACCTACAGAGAGACAAGCCCTATTATTTTGCACTAAATCCTCATCTCACCTGCTGCTTCCAGTGCCAGTGGCTTTGAGGGCAGATGGCTTGTGGATCATTTTATCTGGGGCACTGACTATTTGTTCAAATTTGGGTCTCTGGACCCTCTCCTTCTGCCAGCAGTCAAGCATCAGTAGGTGCAAAACAGTTGGGCAGTCTGGGGGTGGTGGCAGGCGATAGTCCTGGTCAATGGCATTAATTACCTGCAGGAAAAGAATAACAAAGATTTATCACAGCTGGGAAAATAAAAGACAAACAAGCTTCAATCACTTGGTGGTGTATGACTTTCTTCTACTGGAATTGATACAGGAGAGAGAGGCAGATGTACATTTTCACCACTTCTAAAACTTACATCCTGATTGGACATGTCCCAGTAAGGCCTCTCACCATAGGACATCACCTCCCACATGACAATTCCATAGCTCCAGACATCACTGGAGGAGGTGAACTTGCGATACTGGACAGCTTCAGGGGCAGTCCAACGGATGGGGATTTTGCAGCCCTAGAAAGCAGTCAGAGAGCACCCAGAATGTTAGTGAGATAAGGGCTATTTGTGGAAATGACATCACTGAACAGATCAGATGCCAGTAGCATGACACTCTGAGCATAGGGTGCCAGTCCAGTTGATGCTGTCTTGTAGAGATTGTTGTTTTAAATTCAAACTATGTTAAAAGTTTCCACCTTGATCTACTGACAAATATAGATGAAGAACCAAAATCATTCCTCCTTGCTCTTACAAATCCCATAATGTAATAGATTTTAACTTTTATAGCTCTTCTTTGCAGCATTTGAGAGGTGGCAGGTAGTAAAATCCTCCTGGAAGTCACAACCATTTGGAAATCTAAAGCCATTTAAACAATCCCAACATGCAACACCAAGGGCAGATACACTGAGTGGCTAGCATTAACTCCTTCCTCTTTCCATCTTGACCTCTCTGACTGCAAGTACAACCTGCCAGATGAAATATCATGCAGGTGCTAGGTCTTCAAATCACATACATCTAAAACTTGTTTCACTTTTCAGTGACTGAATTCTTCTTCATCCCCTGCATACCAAATGGTAGTTTCAACCTGCCTGTTACACTCCCATCCCTTTTGTGGTATGTATAACAGGTATCAGAACTTCACAGGCAGTAAGTTCATTTGATGGTTGGTTGTAAGCCCACAAATATACTCATGCCAGTTATCTTTTCTGTAGGAAAAAGCCAACTCTTTCCTCAAAGGGTGGTGTATAGGACTTCGATCTCTCCTTCCATCCTTTATACTTCCTGTAAGAAGCTAATGAAAGGGGAAAGATAACACCTACATCAGGTTATGATGTTTGTCCTATTCACCATCATTCCACAAAGAAGGGCACTAAGACTCCATTTCACATGGCAGAGTGGATCAGATATTCTGTTATTTTTAATTTTTACTGGTTTGGAACAAATAGTCCACAGGGTAGAAGGCTCTACCCCACTGGTCTCTCTGGTCTCAAGATGGACTAAAAAGGGTACACCAAATCAAGGACGAACACAGAAAAAATTATAGCTGGCAGCACTGCAGTAACTCATCATAGCAGTAATTCACTGCATAGTGATAACTCACCAGAGCTCCAGTATAGGTGGGATTTGAAGCATCATCCTCCAGAAAGAGGGACAAACCACAGTCTGACACCTTGCACACAAGGTTACTGTTGACTAAGATGTTATGTGCTGCCAGGTCACAATGCACGTAGTTCATGTCTGAAAGGTAGCGCATGCCAGCTGCAATCCTCTGTAGCATTCCCACCAGCTGTAACACACTGAACTGTCCCTCCTTCTGCTGCAAGTAAGGAGGCAAACATAGGCTTTTACGACAACAGAACATGAAGCCAACAGGGAAGACTAACAAAGAGCAAGGTAACAAGGTGGATTTATGAAGTTAGAGAACATACATCTCAACTTCAGCCAAAACCTGAAGGTTCAGGGACAGTAAATAACAAAGGAGGGTGGCCTTAAGGCAATGAATCTCAAATGAACTCAGACACTGGTGATCTTTTTCTGAAGACAAATCTCTTCTTGTGACCATATCTTCCTTTAGCATCCTATGCTCATTAACTACTAAGATGGCTAAATGAATGAGAGCAGACTAATTTGATCTTACTGTTTTAAGATCTTTACAATGGGTTCTATGTAATTCTACACAATGGGTTCATGTGCTCTTCAAAATGTACCTGCCAAAGCATTTGTGGTTGAATTAGCATATGAATCAGTAAAAAAAACCAAGTGAGGCATCTATACTACAAAAATATCTATATTTATGTTTCATTACTAGAAAAAACCGAGTCCAAAAATAACTACATTACAATGTTGAAACTTGAAAACATTCAGTGGAATAGCCTGGAAAAGATTTGAAAGGTAAACTTTGGAGCATGCACATAAGGAACTGGAAGGCTGTGTACAAGGATAAACATTTTATTACTGTTTACCATTAATTATTTGAGCTGGAGAAGTCTAAAATAATGAACACATTTTATATGATGGGTGAGCTTTTGGAATATTTTCATCGTGTTGGCCCAAACCACTTACTCTGGTATTTTGCTATTTTTTCTATCGCTCCTGAAGAGGGCAACTGAGGACGTATAGAGACAGGAGTGAAGAGGAAGGACAGGCAAAATTATCAGATCTGAGACTAGCACACAGCAAGATGAAGAGGTAACGGTTGTGGGAGACTCTGGTTGTGGTACCCTGAGGAACGAATCCAGTGATCCATTCTCCATGAACTCTGTGACAGTCATGACTGGTCTGCTCTTGGTGACCACACCCTCCAAATGGATGACATTGGGATGTTCAAATTGCCCCATGATGCTGGCCTCACTCAGGAACTCCCGCAGCTGTTCATCTGTGTAACCTGACTTCAGAGTCTTAATAGCTACTGTGTATTCACACTTCCCTGGGTGTTTTAGGTGCCCAAAGCACACCTCTCCAAATTATCCTGTTAGGGAGGGAAGAAACACACCTCAGGTAAGGAAACACAGCAAAGATTTTAGTCAGGTGTACTAAAACATTCTACTGTGGAGGACTCCAGGTGCTGCTTGGAAATAGGGTTACTAGGACTGTTTGGATTAAGGTAGAATTCTCAATGAAGGCTCTGAATTCAGTCAGGTTGGAGACTACATCTTCAGGATTCAAAGGAGGAGCTGTGAGTCTTCAAAGGGTGTTTTAAACTTGGTTTGGAGTCAGCATCTAAGGGTAAGTAAGTAGTTTAAGATGAATTTCGGTAAAAGCGAAGCTTAGCTATCCTGAGTGAGACACATGCTCTACCATGGTTGGGTCCATTTCAGGCCAGTAGTGTGTCAAGTCTCAAGGTGAACACGGCAGCACTTCAAAGTCTGCAGATTCTCATACTACCTGATCCAATGACCTCCTCAATCTTGATGAAGGACACATCAATCTCCTTGGCAAATTCTCGAATAGCTTCACTGGGATCTTCATAGGTTGAAGGATCAATGTAATACTTCACTCCAAGTCCTGCAGTGGAGGAGACAGCCCAAAACATCACCAGAATCAAACCCTGAGAGACATGGGTGTTAATGAGTCCTGAAAAGAGATAGGCCTTTGCCATCTGTTGCTCAACAACACTTACCTCGTGCACTGATATACTGCTGCAAGCAATCTGCGTATGGGGTCTCTCGCCTTTTACTGCAGGACATAAAGGAAAGGAAAGTCAAAACACACACAATTCTCTCAGGGGATGTTGGGGTAGGCTTCTCAATGCAAGACTCAGAGAATCCTTGAATTTAGGGTTAGAAGATGGGTGTTAAAATCCTGCCCATCTCTTGGTAACCAGTGCACGCTTGTTTTCTATGTGGTAGTTTTTACACCAGTGTTTGCATCCCCACTTTAGATATGACAAGTGATAGGGCCTCCAGCACTATCCTGGAAAAAAATATTACAGTTTAACATTACTGTCTTGGAAGTTTTCTTGCTATCCGGCTAAATTTAAATTTTAATTTCATTTAATTATGACAAATTCTTCAATACTAATCTAAGGTATTTCCTGTGATGCCTTTCAAGTTCTTCAAAAACATTTTAAAAGCCATTTACTCTAATGCTTAATCTGTATAAATCCCCCCCAAAGTTTAATTCTTCTTTATTTTTCCTCCTGGTCTCCTAATAGCATTTACTTTGACTATTCTTTTGATAAGTATGGTACCCGAAACCAAACACAGAGAGCCAGATGGACAGAGATTTTTTCCATGATGTGATTTTTGCATGTGCAGATCAAAACAGGTATGGCCTTTATTATTGTAATATTTATGGCATATATGCATCTAATTTCCAGTAAGCATAGATCCTTCTCAGCACAGATGTTTCTCAGATTTCATTCACCTCTTAAATGTGTGTGATTCAAGCAATTTTTTTCTGCACATGATCTAGTTGTTTTCTAAGTTTAATCCTATTCTTGGTTTGCTCTAAACATATTTTCCATTTTCAAGTCACTTCCTTTGCTCCCAACAGTGTTCTTTTTTTTTTTTTTCTCTTTCCAAAAAATACACAATTCATGCTAGTTTACAATCTTTTCTAAATCGTATTAAATAGACCAGACTGTACCACAAACCCTGTGGTACCCTGAAGTATCCCTGCTGTATGCATGGATTTGAGTCAGCTCATATGCTTTGCTGTTTCACCACAAGAACTTCTAGCTGCTGATTCAATTAGCATCTGAAGACAGGGTATCACGAAACATTGTTACTTTTCTTTACTAACATAACTAATTTTGTCATTCTAACAGGTAATTCTGTGTATTAGTCTTCTTTGTCAGGTTTATCTCTTGAAATTCTGCACAGATTGCAAAACCACAGATAGTTCTACCTTCATAATCTGTTCTGTTGTGGAAAGAAATTGGCTTTACTAGTGGCCTATACCTAACAGCTCTAACTCTGTTGTCTCATCTGAAAGTCAGGTCTACATTAATTTTTTTATAGGTTATCATCTGACATGCGAATTGTTTTCTATCATTAAAAAACCTCCAATTAGCTAAAATAGGTGTTTTACATTGTATATTGCCTAGAAAATGTGTACCAACAATTTATAAAACAAGTTAAAATTACAGCATTTGACTCTACATGTATTCAGCCTTTTAAAGAACTACTCATTTAATGCAGTGTTCCTTATTTCCTACACCTTCAAACTTATTTTTCTTATCGAGGACAATTTTAAAATAGAAATTTGCTATCTATCTCCACTTTTTCTGAACAACTGTCTTTTAATTGCACATGATCCTTCAAGTATAAATAGATCTATGTTTTATGATATTTCCTTTTATGTAGATACATTTATAGAAACCCATTCATGTCATTCCCCAACACAGTTTTAGTAGCATTAATTTATTCTGGGTTTGGTTTATTGCTTTTAGAAAAATATATGCTTTATTGAGTTGTGCACATAATACCACATTTCGAGCTGCAACAAGAAATTGTATTTTTAACAGTTCAAAACTACAAAAGGAGGCAACAATGAAAATATAACAATATTTGATAATTCTTTTCTTTCCAAAAAGAAAAGTATTAGAAAAGAATATACACAGAAGGAGAAAACAAATGTAGAAAAGGGAAGAGACCAAAATTGATATAACTAAAACTAGATGTCACTTTCTAAAGTTAAGTAGTTT